GAATACAGCTGCCTTGTACTTCCTACTCTGACTTTACACACTGTTTACTGCAGTTAGGCAGTGACCTCCGTTGGGACCACATGTGTGCCTATCAGGCTGGTAAAAAAAAATAACATAAAATATACTGTACAGCATAGGGGCTTGTTGGAGAGGTGATTGAATAATAATTTTGGACACGCTTAATTCATATTATGCTAAAATTAACGTAACTGTTTATAATTTAGACATGGCACAAATCAAGTCTACCACATGGTCATTTTTTGCCCGCTGTGTGGTTTCCTGCACCTTCTCCTGCATTACCTGGTACTGATCTCTACCCAAGACAAGGTACCAAACCAGACAGCTTTAATTCAGCAGAGGTTCTATCATCGTCTGATAAATTATATTGTTTACTACATATACTTTATTTAAATCTGGCTGCCAAGGGCTGAGAAAAGACACATAACATAAGCTGCCATACCTTTTTTGTTGTTGTTTAAAGCCACTACAAGTTTTAGCGTGTTGCTGATGCAGAATCCATACCTCAGGATCTGCTTGAGCTAAGCAGTTTCAGGAGAAATGAGAATACCAGGCACGCTCAGGGTAGCATTAACGATTTCAAGATGTGACTGTAACATCTGAATCAGAATGATCTCCCGCATACAGGCAGAGAAATTTGCTGCTTCAGATCCCTCTTTTGTTTAAAGACTGTTTGACAGTAAATGGCTTGTTCCCTTTTAGGGCTAAAACTGTCCTTCGATAATGCGTGAGATGGGTGCTGTGGTGATCCCCCAGTGTTTGTGCAGTTCTTAGAAAGCACGGGGACAGGCTTCATAGTCCGTGCAAGCTGCACGTTGGACAGAATCTGAACAGTGAGGCAATGACACTCTCACTTCCCCATTTGATACCAGCATATCTTGACTGGCTTTCAGCATCTAACAGACCCCAGGAGCATACAGATGAGCCAGATAAGTTCCCAGTCCCCCAGGCACCCTCTCTGTGCCGGTATCATCCAGACATACACGCACTGAACCAGCATGGAAGCCTGACACAACCGCAGGGGTCCTTTGTACAGGATGAATCCTTCACTGGTCATCTCCACCGAGCTTTGGACAACTCACCTGGAAACACTAGCATAAAAAAATCCCTTCAAGTCCTAGGCAACCTGGTGTGGAATTATAGCACAATGAGGACAGAAACTGGTCCTCAGCATCTGCATCCTGAGATGAAAATTGGGGCCCCCTAATTCTAATGTTCATATTGATTTCCCTTCTGGTCTTGGATTTGTGCACTCCACTTCTGTGCATTAGTTTACTCTTCTCACAGGAGGATTATGCGAGTTCATGTTGGTAAAATGCCCAAAATACAAGTTGTTTCATTTCAAAAAACTAGGTTTTAGTCTTAACAAACTTAATCGTACTATGCTGTTTCAGGAGGGATATTCACAGAGATGCACTATTACCTAAAATGGATAGAAGAGTTCAACCATCCAGAAATGTGAGAAAAACAATAAGGAACTGAATTAATTTGTACTCTGGTACTTTGAGAACTTACTTCATCAAGGCAAAATTACAGCCAATGTACTGTGCAGCTCAGGTAAAGTCTCTTAATGTATGCACTGCCAAAGTTTTTTGGGAAAAAAAAGAAACATTCTAAGCAAGCTTTGGTGTCGTAAGCCTTCTCCTGAGCATGGTTTGGTTATACAGTACTTAATAACATGTGGTTTTAATGTAGCTAGTATTTTAACTGAAAATAAATCACTCCTTTGTTGGACCTCTGTCCTCGTTTTTCTAGAATGACATGTGGTTTAAATGTCTAAAAGGAAAAGTGATATAAATTCCATCACATAAGGTCTCTGGTATAGTACCAACAGGGTTGTAAATTATCTCCAATATTTGAATTATCATAAAAACATGCCAGGGAGAAAGAGAAGTTCTCCAAAACTGTCCAACACTTGTTCCTAAACAGCCTGATGTTCTAAAGGCCTCCTGTTTGTGGATGATCTAATATGCTTTAAAATCAACAATGACCAAACTTAGTGGAATATAAAATTCACGTTTGAAGCCTTATTTTTGTATTGTATAACCATGGAAACATTGTAAAGCTGTTGGGCATTACTGTGCTTCAGTATACCCAAAACAAACCCATGAGGAAGATCTCTTATCAAGTTGAGCATCTGAAACTGTGTACAGTCAAAATATTATTCCCAGTTCTGGTTTTTTTATTTCACCAAGGTATTAGTGCAGGGGAATAACTACAACACAGAGATGTGGTCCAGACCTGACAGAAGAAACGTTTTAGGGTGGTCAAGATAAAAAGAAGACATATAAAAACATTCTTCCTCAGAATACTAATGAACATTAATATTACTAATTCAGAGGTGCTAAATTCCTTCCAAATAAAATACCAGTGAAGCCAAAAGAAGTTATAATATTTTTATAAAGAATTTGTAGAATTACACCACCCGAGCATTTGCCTCTGTGTCCTGGTTGCACTACCTTCTAAATCTACTGCGCAAATTCCGAACAGATTTTCCAAAGGAAAAGAAGAATTCAAGACATTTAAGTGCTAGACATTTATGTAAAATAACAGCTGAAAAGGGACGAGAAAATTAATTCTTGCCATGACTGGGAGGAAAACATGAGCTCACATCACAGTATCAGACAAGGTAGGTGTAGGGA